CTAGCGTTCTTCATACAGCTCAATCGATATGCAATCATTATTTTATGCATAATTCTACTATTAGTACTTTTGTTCTTGTATTTCTTACCTACTTGCATCCTGCTACATTCCTCCGCGCGCGACGCCCCTCTCACCGCGACGCGACCATTTCGTTCCTAACGCACCACACCCCCTCTGCATCCCTGTGCACCTGTTTATCGATTATCGATGAAATACTGCTTCGAAATACCAAAGTTTAGAATGTGTAAGCAACAAATCCGTCGATCTCCTGTTGATATTGGATGGATCTGGATCTATCGGTGATGATACGTTTCGAAATCAGGTTTGCGAGTCTCCCTGCTGCACACAACTGAACCACGATATTTACTAATTGATATATTCTGTTATATCCACACAGTATTTCACATAGATAGTTTCTATACTTGTATATAAGCGTGCCTTTTCGTCATAATTACTGGAAAATTAGATAGTTTATTGGAAAAAGCTGCCCTGTTTGCTTTCGTAGATATTTGATAAGAAAAAAAAAGCCTACAAAAATGTGGACAAAAAATTCCCGAAAAATCAAGAGAGAGAGAAAGTTAATATGAAGAATGAATGAGTTGTTTACATATCATACCATTATTGATTATTTATAATATTTTTTTCATTTAGCAATGTAGGTTGTGGTATTTCAGGGTACAAAGGTCTAAGAATAACAAAAATTCTATTCAGATTGCTTTCGCTATGCACTTGGCCCAACGTATGAACATATCCAGTGAAGGTAGTCGAATGGCTATCATTCAATATGCTGAAACTCCACGATTAGAGTTCAGTCTCAATCAATACACCCATCCAACACAGGTTCGTCCCAGACGTACATTGGAACCTTCTTTCGACTAAACTTTCAACCTATAGCTTCACAAGCGGCTCCTCGACAGGATAGTGGAGGGGTGGGACGAGAGGAGATGGTGAAGGAGAAGGGCCGAGCAATAGGTATGGGTTATTGACACTCGAATGCACCCACGGTTAGTATCAAGTAGTAAGGCATTTGTAATTCTGGAATTTGATGTCCTTTCTCATAGAGGTAAGAGTTTGCCACTCCGAATAGGTTCCATAAATGCTCCTGACAAGTCAAAGTGAGAGCCTGTTGGTAAGACGGGGTATTAGACCATAACCCCCTAAATCCGAGGCCTATTTCACCTCGACTCTTTCTCCAATGATGTGAAGTGGTGATTGTTCAACCCAGGTGAAAGGTTCTAAAGCTGTCTTTTGCCACTTTTCCCGATTCACTGACTTGTATGGTCATGCTTTGAGACTTCCCTTACATGCAATTCAAAAGTCCTCATATGATGAATCTCTGGAAACCACATACAGCATCGAACTTGCTGATTTCAGTTGGAATGGGCAATTCAACGGATCAACTTTCTATCCGGAGCCACTAACACAGGACAGGCGCTCAAGTTGGCATTGGATCGAGGATTCGATGGCGCCCGAGGTGGAGACATACCGAAAGTGGCCGTAGTGGTTACCGATGGACAAAGTCAAGTAGGGCTTACCCTCGTTCCGATGACACCTACAAATACCTTTCCCACAGTATCCGAACAAACGCTCGGAGTTTTTGAATTCTTCTTTACCTCAAACAACTTCCTTTTGATTTCCTTCCAAGATCCAGAAATTTTAAAAATACCTTGGTTAATTTGGCTTGAATTCCTTTGCTGCTTCTTGACAAGCGTGCCTCTTGTGGTATTCCTTACGTATGTTCCTTATTCGGCTCCTGAAAAAAAAATTATATAGCACATAATTCTGGGATAGTTTTATTATTTCGAGAATAACTGCTCCATCACGAGAATGATGTCTAGACAGGCATGAAAAGCCATAAAAAGTAGCAAATTCTCAGTGGCCTACTGAATCCTGCATGAGACTAGACCGAACTCGAATCAGCGAGATCTAATTTTATTGCCCGAAAAATCCCATAAAAACGAAAGTTGTTGAATTTCGAAGTGAGAGAATCACGGAAAACAACAATCAATGAGTGAGAGGTAGGTGTTTTGGCGGCCTTTCGGGTTAGGCAGTGGTTATTAACTGACGGAATCGATAACGATTCATGGGTCAAATTCAATGTAACTAGGGAGGCCAGATCAAGGAAGGAATTACTAGTAACATTTCCATTTGTTACCAGGGAATCTTATGATTCATTAAGGTTCAATGTTGAACGTAAGGCCTAGGGTCAAGCCACCTCGCTGAAAAGTACATCAAGCCAAATTTACTTATCTCTGACATACTAGTCAAGTTTTGTTCGGAAAAATCAGCACAGTGCAAGAGTTTCCAATATTTCAAACTCACATGAACTACATTCTTTCCAAAAACTGTTTGTTTCAGTCACCATCCGCTGTAAGAATGTGTCAGACCATCCCTGGTTATGCTCACTATCCGTTATTCAATTATTAGATCCTTTTGCGTCATGTTATTCTCTTCGTTACCTCTTTGAACCGTTAATAAGGAGATACAGAGAACTTCCTCATAAAGTACCAAAAGACTACTCTTTTCTAGGACCTTCTTTGATCCCATCACCGTATAGCCATCGGCTCTGCCATCTACTTTCTTTTTTCGTCTCCCTTCCCCTCCTCGGAAAATAAATCGGACCTAGTTTTTATTTGAATGTATCTTCTTTCCTCATTTTTCAGGATGAAGTCTCTGAACAGGCTCAGCTACTACGAGACGCTCACATCATGGTGTATGCAATAGGAGTCACCAACCTTGTAAATGTCCATCAGCTCCACCAGGTAAGTTTTGCAACAATTTGTAGATCCTAGCCTTTTTTAAGGAATCAATATATATCTATGAGAAAGAAAGGAACGGAATACCGACCGTGAAGTTCCGTTCACATCGAGTCCTAAACCTCGAGTTAGTGTCGCATGCTGTTGAAGCAAAACCCACACTATACGCTCTCTCTAATCCTGCAAGTCGAATTGAGCTAGCCGGCACGTAGTGCCCGGAACATCACTATCATTCAGAAATGGGACCAGAACTGAGCATGTTCTTCGGGAAAATGAGCTTTTTACCAGCATTAATACACCCACCATTCCCCTGTTTGTTCTCATACCATCTCTTTTTACCAGAGGAGCTACGGGACCTGGGAAAGGCTAAGGAATGATTGCGAAATGACTTCGTGCGCAAACTCGAAATAGTACTCAATGCGTATACAGCCACTCTTTTCCAAAAAAATTACACTTCCTTCTCCTTCAACTTCTTTGACACCAGTCCCACGCGATGCGTCCGAAAGAAGACAGCGAAGGGGCACTGGTTCCCGTGTATTGACTAAAATATCCTCTTCAAATAATAAAAAGGCTTACGTATGTTTGTACAGCTGATATGATTCTTTGCAACTTCCATATTTGATTTTCCGATCACTGGTAATCCTGTGAGAGTTTTCACAGTGGAATCGTTTGATCAACTCGATAAATCACTTGCCGACTCGCTTACCTGGGACATGTGCAAGACCGAGTTCAGTGAGTTGATTTCTTTCGGAAACAAACAAAACAACAAAGCAATATCTCCTCTCTCAACACCTCTTACGGAGAAATGAAAAATTTTACTAGATTTTACTAGCTTTGAATTAGATATGTATTGTTGAGTGTTCCAGGACCCGGTACGCCTGACATAATCTGTGGTCCTGACCGTGTCGGAGTTCGGGCGTCCACCAAGAAACCTTTCGACGGCTACGTTTTCGTCATGGACCACTTCCATCAGGAGGAATGTCGTGCCGGACCCGAGAAATTCGCTGATCCGAGGAGCATCGGCATCACCGTACCGTTCAACGCTTGCAATGTTCATAGATATCGATCAGTACGTGAAGAATTTTTTCAAAATTCCACCTTACTTCGCTCCTCATTTCCTGTTCCAGTTAAATCCACGAGGAATCTTCGTTGAAATGACTGTCGTCTTCATGTTCCATACGCTGTAAGTGGCCATTCACTCACTTGGCTATCTTCTTCTTCTTTCTCCCTTGTGTAGACTCGAAGCATTAGAAAGTTCAAACAGAATGTAAGGATCTGTAAATTCCTCCTGCCCAAGCAGACATATCCCCGCTTGTAGGATCCCCCTTCCTAAATTCGACCCCACTCCCTCCCTTTCCCATTTCCATAAAGTCTACTGGTCCAACCTCCGAAAAGAGTCGACCGCCTCTTTCAGGAAGAAGCAGATGGGAGAATAAGTTCTGTTGCGGGATCCATGAAGTGAGTCTGCCCCGTGACTTGTTCCTATGGGACAATGGTGCGTTATCCAAGGCCATACACTCTTTTAGACGAACCTAACAGAAACAAGTAGGTGCAAGTAGGAGTTACAGTACTTCCCCACACCCCCCCCCCCCCCCCCTCCTTCCCTCTTTCCATCAGCTTGAGCTTTACTTCTTTCTAACGGACGTCATTGTACGAATCCAACAAAACTTCAGCTTCATGACGAAAGTCGACCAAATGGTGAAAATTCAATGCTTTTATATGGAGGCTGACAAGAAAGTCACTGTACCACTATCAGTCAGGTTATTGCTTTTGTCATTGATATTTCAGGTCTTTTTTTAAGTAAGGGAGATGATAATCGTAAAATTTCAGCATGATTACTACCCAATTCCGCGAGAAAGTCTATCAAATGCCACAGTGCTCTTATACGCTTAGAAAGGGCAGCCCAGATGGAGAAATTGTCCGCTTCGCTACACTTGGAGAAAGCGTTTATCATCGGTAGGACCATTCTGTGGAACATATTGACTGACGAAATCGGGACCAATCGATTTGTTTATTTCGCCTATGACTTTCGAAATTTTGAAGAATTTCAGTTGGGAATGCATTGAAATTGAGAAGAAGGACACATTTGGAATGTTGGTCCATTCTTGTTATGTGGATAATGGATTTGGTGATCGAGTCGATATACTTGGAGAAAGAGGGTAGGTTGTTTAGCCTTTGAGATCGTCTCCATGCTAATAGTTATAATTGAGACTTCCTTTTGCTATTTCACTCGATCCCAAACTCCAATTTGGGAGCCATTCAGATGTGGTCTCGATGCTGTCCTGTTGTCAACTCCCGAGTATGACAGTTCGCTCCGTCTAGCGACTAAGGCCTACCATGTCTTCAAATATGCCGATCGTCCAGTCCTGCAGTTCCAGTGTCAGGTGCGACCTACGGGGAGCTGTCACTCATATGCCCTTGCGAAAGATCGTGGGAAATGCCCATTACAGGGACAATTGATGTGGCCGACCAAGCCTTGGGAAGTTCTTTAAGCCTTAACTGCAAATGCTTTCAGATAACACTCTGTCTAAAATACGACGGTGGTTGTGAAGGCATTACGCCACCGAAAGACTGTCCTACATTACCCGGTGAAGATGGCCATCACCATCATCATCACGGACGTCGGAGAAAGGTAACCAAATCAATTTACTTATCATTGAAATAAACAGCTGCCTACAGTAAAAAGGTGGCTTGACATGGCTAGATTTCACCAAGCATGAAAAAAAGTACGGGTTCGAGTAGTTGGATACTCAGTCCCCAGTCACAGACACACAGAGGGTGAACTAAACAACTTTTTCTGTGGCACGAAAATTTGGCCCTCCCTGACATCATTGGACTAGGCTACTTACCGCTTGTCGTAGCAGTTCTACAATCTTCCTCAAGAAGTTCTGATGTTCATCATTAACTGGGTACAGGAAACACCAAAATGAGCGACTGGTTGAGGTCCCTTCGCTACCTCCCCTTAATCCTTGAAATCCCCATCGCAAACTGCAACTTTCCATTTTGAGGCCAAAATTAGGCTCTCTCCGGTGTCATAGCACCTGCTATATCTATTAGCTCATACTGGTCACTGTAGCTGCTCTACCATTTAATGCCAGGTACGGGAGAAACTCAACTGAGCAACTGACTGATGCCCCTCCCAGACATCTTTCAGCTCCTGTAACCCCCAAAACAAATACTTGTGCAAGCAAGCGGGAGAAGCCATTACAGCTCCTATGGTGGTGCGTGCAAGTTATGGGAACCATCCTAGCCTACACTGTACATCAGCGCGGAGTACCTTACCCTCCCACATATTCATTTGTGGCATTTTCAGGCCCGAGAAGTGAGAACCAGGGATGGAATGGGTACCGTCGACGTATTCACTGAATCGGTGACAGTCGTGGATCATTTGCCGAGCTGCACAACATCGGTATACCTTCTATACAACCGAACGATTGCCTTCAAAACGCTGCTCCTTTCAGGTGTCCGTCCTCGACTCGGTCGTCATCCTCGCTTTCACCATAGGCAATATGATTATCTCTGTTCTTACTATAATAATATGGATTCTTGTCTTCAGAAGCCGTCGAAAGTGATTTGCACCGTTGTGTTTGTATATACATAAATTAATAATACGATTGCCATTTACCACTTGATGCAGATTATTTGCATGTACTTCATAGAAGCAGTATAAGTAATGTTGGAACGTAGTTCGCCTTTGATTATACCTTATCATTAGGTATCACATTATCATTAGGTTGATTGACTGCCGGTAATGTCGATTATTTCAATCACCTACCTTACCAATTGATGTTGTGATTTACTTACTAATCCCCTTTATCTTTCAATGCAATATTTTTGCTTTATACATATATCTACTTCATGGAATTCGCTCAAAAGATTATATTATTTTCTGAAATAAACCGCTCTACTTTGCAGCACAAGGGGTAATATCCCCGGCCGCACCTACCCAGGTAAACTATTCCGTTACCTCTGAAAATTGCCTTTGTTTCGAGCTGAGTAGTATAGAAGATTTATTGAATAAATGTATGGGCACGCTTTGGTCTTCAGACGATAGTTTTGATCAAGATTCCGTCGAAATTCTCCAACCATGCGGGAAACATGGGGATGGACTGCTTGCAACATTATTTTTTCTCAATGGGTATTTTGAGTTCTGTGTGGAGGAGGTGGTGTAGTGGCTGGCAGGTGGCCCACTGTCAGGCAGATATGGTCCAGGCTTAACCTTCTGATCGATACCCACCCAGAACATCCAAGCTTTCCATCCCTCCGGGTTTGCTCTATTGATACTAAACTCGGCTGTGAGGGCAAAGACTTTGACTTATACACGGGCTGGACATCGCGCAGTGCATGCGCATTCAAATCGTTACCACAATTCTGAATGGTAGTCAGATGCTGAGCGCACCCTACTTTACCCTCCTACTTTGAAGTTTAAAATTATCACACTCAGGCCGAACTGAAAACGAGACATTCGGCGTCTGATGGAACCTAAACTCTTATTTCCTTTCTAACACCGTACGGCTTGATTGTACTGCTCAGACCGCAGTACCGTACCTCATCATTCTTACAGTGTCATGCTTGTGTATATTCGAATAGCGTATCGACAATCACACGTATGTCAATCGGTAATATTCACCGATCGAAACAAATCGAATCAATAGCCCTGTTCAAGGACAAAATCGCCCTTCAGGAGAATAGATGTTCAAATTGAGGACTATTGATCTGTAAGATCGAAGGTTATCACCTTTCATATGTTCCTTGGTTTCCCATGAGCATAGACTTCAGTTTCGAGATAAATGGACCAAAAGTGGGGACAGATATGCGAATAAATTCGGAAAGAATGAAGACATACGCTCGAAAGTGGAATAGGAGAAATAACAGCAGGAAGTGAGATAAGGATAGTTAAAGTAGCGAAGCATTCGATAAAAGAAATGCAATTAGGCACTAGAAAGAACGGGGTATAAGGGCAAAATGGTATCGACAGGATAGTGCAGTGTATAAGAAACATGCAGAACAACAAATAAAATTAAGATATTCAATTGCATTGTTAGTGGGTGGGATGGGGTGGGGGGGGGTATGGAAGTAGGCGTCCAAAAAGTTCAATAATTGCTTGGTCGATATCTGATTGGAGATCAAACAACCAAAAATTAGCCATCTATTTGGTGCAAGCTCTTGAATTTCAAAACGAAAACCATCCCTTGCCTTTTCCTATCGATTCACCTTCC